GATCCAACAGCTTTTGCAAGAGACCAAAAGGACCTAGAACTACTTGGACAATTCAGCAACCTGTTTTTTATTCTTTGATTGTATGTTTCTTTAGCGGAGTCAATAGTAATTTTGCAACTATTTCTGGCTTCTATAAATTCTGTGTGGTTTTGAGCGGTTTGTTGTCGTTTCCAAAGGTTATATGCTCTGTGTTTTTTCTGTACAGCCGTTTGACACTGGCTGTTGAACCAAGGTTTTGCATTAGCTCTACGTTTAGTTGTATGTGGGATATATGCATCCATTCCAGATAAGATTACTTGTGTTATTTCATTACAGCAAATAGTGGGATCAGCTGTTTTAAAGCAGACCTCTTGCCATGGAAAATCCAGGTAAAACTGTTTTAGGTCATTCCATTTTGCCGATTTATAGTGCCACATTTTACGAGGAAGTGGTTGTTGGCTTGGTGGGATGAGCATTTCGCACTTTGTTATTATAAGTTTATGATCGGACGAACCAAGTGGAGCATCTACTTGAATTGTGTACGAGTCAGGATTTGTGGTTAGGAACAAGTCTAAAAGCGCTGCAAATTCGCCCCTTTCTGAGATACGGGTAGGTTCATCGACAAGCTGCGTTAGACCACAACTTATGGCAAAAGCTTCTGCTTCTCTGCCTTCGTTATCTGTTTTGTTGTGGTGTTTCAGCCAGGGTATATTGTGGACGTTGAAATCGCCTAAAAAGACAATTTCCGCCTGTGGATAGTTTGACTGTATACTATCACAGCTTTCGGATAATGTCGCGAAAAAGTTTTGGTACTCGGTGTTAGATGGCGGTCGGTAGAGGCAGCAGATAAACTTGGTCGATGACTTTGAGGTGAATTTTAGCCATATGATATCAAGGTTCGCTGGTTCTAGCTTCTCCTCTCGATGACATGAAAGGTCATTTTTAATGTACACACAGATCCCAAAATTATGTCGAAATCGGTGGTGTAGGTCATAGCCGGGATAAAGATAGTTCACAATAGGTGTTGCAGAACTGATTTTAGTTTCAGTGAGAACAAGGATGTCAGGTCTTTGTTCTTCAAGATGTTGGTGAACTGAATTCATATTTGTACTTATTCCTCTTATATTGCTAAAATCAATTCTGAGTTGAGTTTTTGATCTTCTCTTTATATCTTTGCATGAAGGACCCCCAGGATCATCCGACGCCCGGAGATCCGAGTGGTCGGGTATTTTACCTCCGGAATATTTTGATCCTGGAGTCGCCATCATGCTATCTGTTACTCATTGTTGGAACCGGACTGCCAGCGCAGTAGCGGAACGTGGTGATACCACTTAGCGCTACTCAATTCTGGCATGGTGGTATCTCACCGGTCGACGCCCAATGAGTAAAAAGCGTCTACCACCTAGTGCTAAAAGTGACATTTTATTTTGTGAAAAGGGAAGTTTGAACAGAATAAAATCACTTTTAGCACGATTATCATACACTATTTTTTCTAAAAACGCACTAAAAGTGAATACTTTTAGCACTCAGTGCTAAAAGTAATCAATTTTAACAACAGTGTCATAAAATGGCGTTTTAGATACTGACAGCTTCCATGAAAAATGACACTAATTAGTGACGTTTGTAGAAAATAAGCTTTTTTTTGAGTCAATTAGTGATTTTCTATATTCTTTTGGGTTGATTTGTAAAGTTCATGTAAATAAGCACTGTGTGGAAACATATGTCGTTGATATTGGAAGTCCCGCCTCCTCATCAATTCAAAGTGTCTCACATTATACCAAGGAGCACTTTTAGAACGAAATTTATTTCTATAGTGTCTATTATGCAAATTTGGGATTAGACCAGTTTAAGGTTTCAATTTCAGCTAAATTTGCCTTAAAAGCTCCTTTATTTAAAGTGGTTACTGTATAACCATTGCATTTTGCGTCTATTCTTTTTAAGTTTATACTGAAGTATTGCAATCGGTGGTCTGAAATTGCACTGTCTATCAGAGACAAACTTAAGTCATAATTACTAATATTAATTATTGCCTAATCAATTAGGGAATTAGAATGTTGAGTTACTCATCTTGATGGTATACTGTTATTGATTATGGTAAATCCATTTGACTCAATTGTGAACTGTAGTATTTGCTGCTTTGGGCTCGAATTTAAAATGTTGAGGTTAAAATGTCCAAATATCCAGGCTGTCTTTTTTTTTTATTAGGAATGAAATTCAACTTTTCATCACAGGTTTGCAAACAATTATTGTTTGGAGTCTATATATTATTCCTATAATATCACATTCTTCCACCAAAATAAAGATCATGGAACAGTTTGAGTTATGTTTTGCAAGTTCTTTGAAGTTGTATTTGTCGTCCTGTCACACCTATCCAAATCCGGCTCTAGAGGTGTAGAGTGTCCGTCCACAACTGCGAAAAACTTCAAGTCGTCAGCGTATAGCAAGCAGAGGGGTGATTGGAAGCATTGAATGACGTCATTTATGAAAAGAAGAAACAGGATCGGTCCGATGTGCGATCCCTGAGGGACCCTGGATGAAACTATGAACTTATGGGATACTGCACCGCACACACCAAGTCTTTGACATCTTTCCGTTGAGAACGATTCTCTAAATTTCAAGAAACGTGCACCGAAGCTCATATCTGAGAGTTTTTTTAGTACCAATTTATGGCACACACTATCAAGGGCCTTTTAAATGTTCGTGAAGATCATGTCCACCTGTTTTCCTGATTCCATAGCTTTCGTTAGGAACTGTTGGTGGACAGCGAGATTTGTAGCAGTGGATTTTTTCCAGGCAGAAACGGTGCCATTCGTTAGCGATATAGTAGAATGGATTCCATAATTTCAAGAATGTGCGATAGTAGAGATATGCCTCTATAATTATTATTCACATCAGAGCGGTCTCCTGATTTGTGGATAGGGAAAAGTGCTGAGATTTTCCAACTTCTGGGAAAAATGCCAGTATTGAAAGAAAGTTGGAAGGTATACTTCTATTAGAGATGTGCAATTAACAGCCTTTAGGAAACACTGGAGAGAGACCATCTGCTCCAGGACTCTTTGAGGTATCGAGATCCAGAATTTTCCTCTTTATTTCCTCAACGGTAAAGAGATGATCGGAGAGGTATGTTCCAAAAGGAACTGAGAATTCTTCTTTCATCTCAAATTCCTTGTGGTCAGAGTAACAATTCTTGAAGTGTATGACAAAGAGTTCAGCAATCTGTTGACGGTTTGAAGGACGGATATTGTTAAAGTGCATCTGTTTCAGCAAGCCTGCATCTCACTTCAAAGATCTTATAGATGACCATAGGTGTGTTCTGCTTCAACAGCGCTGAGTTTATCAACCATCAGCTTGTAAGCGGCACGCATCTCCGCAATTTCTTATCATTCCTCCATCTTCTCTTCCATAATGGTGTTTTTTCACTGGAAATATGGAGTACGACAAACAAATACCTCGGTGTTTCGGCAATAGTCACAATAAAAATAAAAACCTTTACCGACAAGCTTGAGGTTGTTTCACGAAAAACTGTAATACAACTCGATTAGACTAAGGGCAGAATTTATAGTCGTTCCTTGAGTCTTCCTTATTGGAAATCGTGAGTTTAGAATGGATACTTGCTACTATTTGATAAGTTAAGTCATGAACATCCCACATAACAAAATTGCATCCTTAGAATGTAATAAGAATGTTTTTTTTTCAGGAGGAATGTGCCTAGGATGTTCTCCAAAACCATTGCGAATGTCCTGAGAATGTTCTGAGAAAATATTGTAGAAATACTGTTTGCAATACCCAAGAACTTCCTGGGAAATCCATTGGGATATTCCTAGGATATACCTATGAGATTCTCAGGACATCCTGAAAAGAATATTCCTGTTTGATTCTAAAAATATGCTTTAAATGTATATTCTCACATTGAAAGAATGTTTCTATGACATTATAGTTATGTTCTCAAAAGAATATTATACCAATATACTTGAAATATTCCTAGAATATATCTACATATATCATTCTCAATATGCATCCTAGACATAATATTCTTGTTTGATTCTAAGGATAGACTTGAAATGTTAATTTTGGCATCCAAATAATGCCCCTTTCGGCCCTTTCAGTCCTTTTATATTAAAGGCAGTGAAAGAGTTGTTGGAAAACTTCTCTGGAAAACACAGGTGTACAACCAAAGCTCCGGTTTTGTGCCTGTTATGCTCTCGTCGCGGCAAGCATGCCAACTGAGAGAAACAGTTCCAAGGAGATTCAAACGCTAGGCAAGATGTAGATCTTTAATAGCGCGTGGCTCCCTCTCTTGGAAGTCCTACAAAGCAAACGAAAAAGGATATATCTATAATATTTTTAGTAGGTTCTAGATAGAGCATTATTGTTTAATTGTTCAATTAAGATTTTTGAGTAGGTACTTTAGATAATTAGGTGGACAATATGAAAATATTCTTATCATGGTTATCTACCTACATAAACTTCTCAGCACAACTTGGTATATTCTTAATACTTGATAGAGATATTAGCCGAAAGAACATTTTTTAGGGTACATTCTAATAATGTTCGTATGACAATATTCAAAAAATGTTATATAAAGTAGGTTCTTAGCATAATCTTTCAAGTAGGTGCATAGAAGCAACATTCCTAGTACATAAATAGAACGTCCAAAAATGAATATTTCAATCGAAACAATCTTAGAATATTTCTTAAACATTCCTAAAAGAACATTCGAAAAAGTACTTCGAGGGAATATTCTGAGAATATGAATGTTATTTCCCTGTTATGTGGGATTCTGTTCGTTCAAGGCTTCCTTAAGGTCTGAGGAAACCTCTAGGAGCGACTATGAATTCGGCCCTAAACCTACAAGGATTCACAAATACGCTCAGGCACTGATTTGGATTTCCTCTGGAAGGAAACAATTAATATACAATTTAGCTTTGCTCATAACATATTCCTTTTAACAATTTGTTATTGCATGTATTGTATCCTCATATATATTTCAAAATCTAAATAAATACTATTTTTGTTCTCAGGCACCGCATTACCTTTCCACAAGAACTTATGCCCAGGATGCCATAATATTCCGAAAGCTAAGGAATGGCAATTAGCTCCAGAAACAAAAGACCTTCACGTCTTCCACGTAGGAAAACGTAATGGAAAATTCATCCACTGGGAGCCGATATTTATCGGTACGCATAGCGATCCTTTGTATGACGAACGGCTCAGTTGGGAAGGAAAAAGCGACAAAATGACTCAAGTAAGAACACATTTCACTTTATTTTAGTGCACACATTTTATTTAAATTTATTTTTTTTTAGGGTTACGCCTTATGCGTTTTAAACTACGATTTCCTGATTCTCGACAACGCTTTTCTTGTCCACAAGCCGGGCATCAAAATATACAAGAAGGACTCGAAACGAGCAATGCTCGCAGGAAAAACTAATCAATTGATTAAGAAAATTATTTTCCCTGAACTTAAAGTGTTGTATGGCGTAAGGAAAGGCTGTGCTGTGTAAAAATAGTGAAGGAAGTAGCCCATATTGTCGTATCTAGAACGATATGGCATATTCCTGCAGTTAATTAAACTCAAACAGATGCCCATGTGTGAGGCAATTAATAAGTTTCATGAACCCGATGAGACTTTTGGTAAGATGACTGGGTTTAAGGGCTATTATGCTTTATTATTCTAGAGACAACAATAATATAGAGATATTTTAAGAGAAATATTTTTACTGAAAAAAAAGTGAAATTCATTTGAAGTATTTCTGTTTAATTTTTGTTGAATATAGAGGATACATGGTTTCAAAGTTTTCATACAGTTGAATTTCTCATTAAATTGTTTAAAATATTGGCCTTATCCTTTATTAATTATTTTGAAACAAATCATGTATTCAAAACAAAGCCATAATTTCTTAAAGGGTAATAGAGTGTATAGGTACACAATATAGGTATTTTTAAAAAATGTGATTATTCTAATATAGTAGGAATTTATTAGTGCTATGATTAAGATTAAATTTAATCCATTACTATTTTAATAGTCTAGTGGATTAAGAACCTAAGTGATATTGAAAAACCTTGTAGTAGGACTTGGAGTCTTGCAGAATGTATACCTAAATATAAGGGAAAATATTCTTTATTATGTAGATATTTGAAAAAAGTTTTGATGCAGGGTATGAAATTCTATTCAGAAAACTATTATCAAACAATTTTTGCGAAATAAAGTTTAAGATCTACCTATTGTAAATATATTTAGAGAAATATCTCATTATGGCAAAGGTAGGTGAGTTGCTTTAGCAGTAGGAAGATTCTCAGCAAAATGGGATCATGTGCCAATAGAGAGACTTGGAACCTGCGACCTATTATTCTATATTGAAGACATTCGGCGTCGCTACTTTCGCTTTCGGCTGATGAATCCTCATTACCTTCATGACGGCTCTTCTAGGACTCCGACCTTCCAGGAAGTTTACAAATTGCATTTTCTTTTCTCAACCTTATCATTGATAATTACTAATAAATTCACTTCAAAAACTTTCTAAAGCAACTTTTTTACCATTTGAATATATTTTTAATACAGTACTTAGTAGATTTAGATTTTAGCATTCAATTTAAATATTCCCAATAGTCTAAGAGTATTATGTTTTTCACAATTTAACATTTATCCAAACCTTAGCTTACCTCCCTATAATAATAATTCGAATATTATAAGTACCTACTACTAAATGATAATTATAAAAGCTCAATAAAAATAATCAAAAAATTAAAACTATTATAACTACCTACTTATTAAAGCACTTTTACATACTATTCAAATCTCGATGATTCAAATACTTAATTATTGTATTGACTGTTGTGTTGAGCCTATGTTCTCATACTATTGTATTCCTATTTTGTATATAGAATAGACTGATAGCATACTTTGTAATTATTATATCTATTCCTATTATAAATGCGTATATGTTTTTACAGCAAAAAGACGGCTTCTAAAGCTTTAATAATTGTTAAATTTATCCCTGCTCTTGTAAAGAACAAAAACGTATCTACCTACTTTAGCCTACAGAAATTTGTATTAATGCTATAACTATAAAATAGTCCATATTATATATATTGTTTAACTGACGTATTATTGTTGTAAGTACATAGCAAATGTTGCTCATTTAATTTATTTTTCTATAGATTAGATAGTTTTATTATGATTAAGTTTAAATATTATGGGCCTGTTTAAGAATTCCAAAAAGATATTAAATTGTGCTATACCTACATCATTGTCTTTCTTCAATTGGATAATAATATTTGCTTGTGTAAATATTCACACAAAACGGCTGATATTTTGTACTTAATTTTATTTACTAAAATCATAAATAGTATGTACTACATATTTTGAATATCGCTCGATTCTTTTAAAATTTTTTATAATGAATTTGAAGTAAATTCAAGAAAAATTTTAACTTTGAAACATTCAGATACTTACCTACTACAATGAATTGTCTTATGATAGTGATCTCTATGATGCCTTGGATATTTTCAATTTTTTTGACTTTTGTATTTAGGTAATTTGATATTCAAAAGTTACACAAATTTTCTTATTATTATGTAGTTTAATGTCCTATTTTCTCTTTAAGTTGTAAAATTTGAAGTTTATTTGCTAAAATTGGATATGCTTATAAAAATGTCTCATTTAAAAGAACAAATACCTAATTATTGTTAGTTTTCATTAGCGTTTTGTGCCTTACATAAAATTATAACCAATATTGCTAGATTTGTGTAGCATCAAATATTATGTATCTGTATTGGAATACACATAATTTTCTACCTATTGAAAAAAAATCTTTATTCTAAATTGAAAGAAATAAATATTGTAAAAAGTGAGGATATCTACTTATTATTTTTCTCTTGTGTGAAAATTAGGTACCTACCTATTGGGACATATTATTGCACAAGTTACAATTTGACGACCAAATACACCAACATTGACCTTGTACTAGGTGTAAATCGCACATTTTTTGACCTTGGTACCAGGAAACGTTCGAAAACACGGATGTATTACTAACTTCAAAATGGGTTATACGAAAAGCATTCTGCGGACCACTTTGTAGTACCAAATGAAAACAGCAGATATCAGTTCTTGGTTCACCATGTAAGAATGTTATCTGTAAAAATTGCAATGTATGTGTCAATGCATATGTGTTAAAAAGACCCTGGCCATAGGTATACACATCTGATTTTTCAGAAAATGGTTGAAAAATGAAAAACTTCCAACAATATGACTAGTACCTGCAGCGCCGGTTCAAGGCTCTACCGGGCCCTAGGCGGCAGAAGGTATGGGGCCTTAGCCCAAAGTAACTTTTTACTGTTTTTGTCCAAATTGTAAAAAAAAGCCTTTCAAAATCATGGACGAAGTTAGGGCATCAGATCTGGGGGGGTACAGCCCCAGGCCCATAGGAGGATGGGGAGGCCTGTCGCAAACGCCGCCGGAGTCAAGAAAATTTTTGTGGTGCCACGCCCAAAAGCGTTCATTTCGACCCATAAAATGAACGATTTTGGGCGTTCTGAGCCTTCAAAAAATAAACAAATTATTGTTTATTTCTGAAAGTACAAATAATATTGAACTAAATAGAAAATTGAAAAATGGGCAATATGGAACTCTGCAAAACAAGAATAAGGATACCTAGGTTTAATCAAATCGTTTATTTTTGTTAAAAACATAGCAACATAAGTACATTGCGTTGTGATTTTTTAAGTAAAGTATTTTTGAATTCTGATTTTTTAAAATAGGTACCTAATTGCAGGGAGGGCGGAACCCCATATTTTGTAGGTACTGTAAAATCAACGTTCCATAAATATCAACACCGAAAGAAAAATAAAAATGAAAAATTATATTTATTAAAAAATACAACAGCATTTATTGTACAAATTTATTGAAGTATTTCCTGAATTAATAAATTCTTCCAGAACATCATGTAACCTCAGGGATTTTTTAATACCATTTTTAATGTTAGCAAGAGCTAAGAAACTGAATTGATCTTGACCCATGATCGATCTCCTAACATTAGAATTGGCTCAAATTAGGCATTAACATTGAGACTGAACTGACTGAACCGAAAATGTTTAAATGCACATACCTAGATTAGTTGAAGTATGATAATTGAAAAAAAAAAAAAAATAGAAAATAGATGTTAGTATGTTTGGTTTTTTTAAATATCTATTTTCTAATATGTGTGTGTGTGTGTGATGAAGTGCGAATTATTTTTGGGGGGGGGGCTAAATAAAAAAGCCCCCCCTAACTTCGCCCATGTTCAAAATGCTGCTGGAAAGTGTTTTGGAACGTTCTAAATGGCTTTTTGAAATTCTAAAGTGTTCTAACTTGGCTTGAAGAGTTCTGGAGCATTCTAGAAGTTTTTCAGTAATTTCTAAATTGTTCTGACAGATTTTTAAGTATTTTAGAGCCCTATTGAAGCTCCAAAAAGTTCTAAATTGGTTCAAAAAAGTTCTAAAAGGTTTCCAGTTCTAAATCAGGATTCAATTTAGAACTTTGAAATTGTTCTAAAATAACTCTGGTTTCTCAATTGCTCCAAAATGCTCCTGAAAATTCTGATTTAGATTTGAACTGTTTTAAATGCCTTTAAAGAGTTTTAAAGTTCTACAGCAATCAAAGTTTGCTTTAAAAATCCTTCTGAAAGGCGTTTTGTAATTTTTAATCTGAATCCTAAGATTCTGGCGCTTTTCAAAATGTTTTTCGGGTTTCCAGAGTGTCTGAGTTTGAGTGTTTTGGAGCATCCTAAAATGGGTTTCAACCTTCTGAGTTGTTCTAGAATTCTTTTGGAAATCGGTGTTTGAATGTTTTGGGGCATTCTAAAATGGTTCTGAAATTTCCTGAAGCGCTACAGAATGCTTTTGGAAATTCTGAATTTAATTTTTAATGTTTTGAACTTTCCAAAAGGTCTATTAAAGTTCCAAAGTGTTCTGTAGCATTTTAAATGGTTTCCAGTAACTTCTAAATTGAATGAGAAACGAATTCTGTGGGAAAATTTTCCCAAAAACTTCCCTAAGATGTCCATAAACGACATTCAAGACGTCTTGCCTGCATTTCAACGACATCTTGAAGACGTCGTGATGTAACAAAACCCAACGTCTTCCACGAGAGAGATCTGCCTAGAGATGTCTTCAGCATGACATTCTAAAGACTACTTCAAATCTTCAAAGAGATGTCTCAAAGACGTTTTTGAATCTCTTTTCAATACATAAATCATTATTCGCTTTTAGGCTTGAAGAAGAGAAAGATATGAATTTACGATATTTTATATTGACATCTTCAAAACAACGTCTTCTAGGCGTCCTCTTTTGGTCTTCAGCCGTTCAGACGTAATCGTAATACAAACCCTAGAAAAGACGTCTTCAAGACTTTGTGTGCTGTCTGGGTAGTGGAACATCTCGTATCTATTATCTATTACTCGTTTCACGGATGTTCATCAGCAACATGACATGAGGTTGGATGGACTCTACCTGAGTTGGGAATCCGACAGCTACAGAACAGTGTTGCCGATAGTGTGCGTGCGGGTGGTGTGGTGCGTCTCAGGGCGCAAGGTTGCCAAAATAAGATATTTGATTTCAGAGTGAATTTCGGGCCCCATTGAGCGACCGGGCCCTAGGCGGCCGCCTAGTCCGCCTAATGATTAAACCGGCGCTAAGTACCTGGAGCTGCTAGGCTTAGGTATTTGATCCAGTGCTTAGGCTCGACTACTCCATTATAAGCAATAGTCTCTAGAAAATTAGGAATCATCATCATCATAGGCGATCACTAGACACCAAGTACCTATATGTCTGTTTCTGCAGAAATCACAAACCAGTCAGAGCCAATTTAATTGGTTGAAAATAGTCAGAAACAGTCAGAAAACTAGTTTCAACCAATGAAATTCACTCTGACTGGTTTGTGATTTCTGCAGTGTGATGAGGCAGCCTACAGCCAGGTTGCCAAGTGGTTAACTCCGATGACCCAAACGAACTATAGTACACACTAGGGGTCGCTAAAGAGGACCCATGACGTCACAACCGTGATCATACCGAACCACCACAAGGACACTAGCTCCGGCAGTCTATTAATTGCTACCCATGAAACCATGAACTGATTCCTCCTGCGCGTCCGTCCGCGACCTCCATTAAGGTCATAGTTTCAACTCTTGTTAATTGCTTAACTCTATATTTGATCCTGTGATATTAGTAATGAAACGCTTTAGTAGAATCTCGCTTTTATTTACACAAGCTCGGTTATCACGCATGGCGACAAGGTAAAAAAAAATTTAAAAAAAAAAAAAACGGAAAACGCGTGCGGGAACAAAGGAGAACGTGCAAAATGGCGTCTTCAATCTCAAAAGTTTGCCGAATTCAACATGGAATCCGACGACTGGATCCTGTCCCAACAAACACAAGTTCGTCTTTAGTACGTCCATAATTCGTACTTTTTCGGACGAGAGTACGTCCGCGGACGTACTTTTTAGGTCCCGCCGACGTCCGAGGGACATCTTTAAGGCGGTCGTTTTCCACAAAATAGTACGTCCCACGTACGTATATTCAGTACGGCTTTTTAGGAACGTGTTGGGGACGTACATTAACGTACGTATTTAGTATAGCTTTTTAGGAATGTGTTTGGGACATACAGGTTTTTCCCATATATTTTTGCAGAACTGGGGGCGGATTACGAACTCTCGACTCGAACCGGAACCGCCATGGATTTCGAATGCATTCTGATGCATTCGCATGCCCACATAACAGTGAAAGAACATTCATGTTCTCAGAATATTCCCTCAAAGTGCTTTTTGGAATGTTCTTTTAGGAATGTTTAATGAATATTCTAAGATTGTTTCGATTGAAATATTCATTTTTGAACGTTCTATTTATGTACTAGGAATGTTGCTTCTATGCACCTACCTGAAAGTTTGTGCAAAGAACCTACTTAATATAACATTATTTGAATATTGTCATACGAACATTATTATAATGTACTCTTAAAAATGTTCTTTCGGCTAATATCTCTATCAAGTATCAAGAATATACCTACCAAGTTGTGCTGAGAAGTTTATGTAGGTAGGTAACCATGATAAGAATATTTCCATATTGTTCATCTAATTATCTAAAGTACCTACTCAAAAATCTTAATTGAACAATTAAACCATAATGCTCTATCTAGAACTTACTAAGAATATTATAGGTATATTCTTTTTCTTTTGCTTTGTTGGACTTCCAAGAGAGGGAGCCACGCGCTATTAAAGATCGACATCTTGCCTATCGTTTGAATCACCTTGGAACCCGTTTCTCTTAGTTGGCGTGCTTACCGCGACGAGAGCATAACAAGCTCGAAACCGGAGCTTTGGTTAAACACTTGTGTTTTCCAGAGAAGTCTTCCAACAACTCTTTCACTGCCTTTAATATAAAAGGGCTGAAAGGAGCATTATTTGGAAGCGAAAATTGACATTCCAAGTATATCCTTAGAATCAAACAAGAATGTTATGTCTAGGATGCATATTGAGAATGATATATTATGTAGATATATTCTAAGAATACTTCAAGCATATTGGTATAATATTCTTTTTTTCATAGAAACATTCTTTGAATGTGAGAATATACATTTCGAGCATATTTTTAGAATCAAACAGGAATATTCTTTTCAGGATGTACTGAGAATCTCATAGGTATATTCTAGGAATGTCCTAATGGATTTCCCAGGAAGTTCTTGAGTATTGCAAACAGTATTTCTCCAATCTTTTCTCAGAACATTCATAATGGTTCTGGCGAACATTCTAGGCACATTCCTCCTAAAAAAAGAATATTCTTATTACATTCTGAGGATGCAATTTTGTTATGTAAGTGGAGTGCGTTCAAAAACCATGGCGGTTTCGGTTCGAATCGAGAGTTCGTAATCCGCCCCCTGGTTGATTGAATAGGTACCTATCAAAAAGATGTAAATACAAATGTTGTATTTACACCTTTTTGATACCTATTCAATTAACCTGTTCAGATGGGTTGCAAAAATATAGGAGAAAACCTTATACATAAAGGTACATATGTATTTATGTGTATCTTTATAGTGAAAAATAAAACCATATAAATATGTATTGTATTTTCAAGTTACAA